CGTGCCCGTTTTTGTGCATGTGCAGCAGAGCATGTGGGGAAGCCTTCCAATAAGCCCCGCCCACAATGCTAAACGCCCAGCAAGTGCATGATTTTGCAAGCAAGCCGTTTCAGTACTGTCTGAACATGTTGGAAACATGCAAACACCAAGTAAGTGCAGGGATTGGCAGTCGCCACCGGGACATTTAGCCTATCTTCTCTGGTCACGGTTTTTCTTCTGGGTCACCAGAACACTGTTCCGCAAGGGGACCTTCCTCAACTCCTGACAGAAACGCCTACGCCCGGCAGCCTACGCCTTCAAGGTGTCTGTGCCGGACTCCCCGAGCCTACCCTGAATTGAATATAGGGTGCTTAAATGACTATAGAACATATGGCTCCATACATATACAGGGACGATGGGGGGATATGAGTAATAATGATTCCGACCCCTGTCTTATCCTAGACATGAAATCTTGATGGAGGTTGCCATGCCTCACTGAATCGGGAAGATTGCCCGGCCACAGCATGTCATTGCCTGCAAGAGGGGGGATCTTTGGGAAAATAGCCGGAAGTAAGCTGCAATACCGTTTTCTGTGGGCATTTACTCAATCTGATTACACGGCGCCTTCACGAATGTAACGTGCGGAAGGATTGCCCATCACAGCTGTAAAGGTGGGCTCCCAACAAAAGTGAAGAACGCTGCCCCACTGGAAGCCATTCTCTGGAGCCCTTTCATCTTGCTGTATCATTAGTATGATTATTATATCCATTATGCATTATGTATTAGTATTCTTATGGTTACTAGAACTACTACAATTAAACCTGAAGAGGAGTCGGTTGCCACTGACACGGTCGACGCGTTGATATCGGCGGCATGGCTTCAGATGCGTGCTTCCACAGCGGCGGACAGCCGGTGTGGGGCATCGAGGGACCATTCAGACAGGGTTTCGGGTCTAGGGCTTAGGGTCTTATATGGAGGTTTCCGAAAATTAGGGTACTTTTTTTTGGAGTCCTTATAATAAGGATCCCACTAACTGGGGTACTATCTTAGGGTCTCCTATTGTCGGAAACCCACATGCAAAGTAGCCGAACTGAGTTCTCGCAGGACATACTGCTGATGTTGACGAGCGTGGTGTGCTTGTGCCGGGTCAGCTACGCCTACCGCTACGGAGGCGTAGATGCCATGCCGGCTCCTCAGAGACTGCTTGAGGTTTTCAGGCTGCTAATTTTGTAATATATTGTTGTATATCTATATGTATATATATATATATAGGGGTTATAGATGATATAAAAACCCTAAACCTCATTGTTCAGTCGCAAGCGAGGCCGGCCTTGTGGACTTTGACAGTTATCCACTCGAAGGAGGCTCTCGAGTGGCTGTCACAGGCCGGGTGCTCAGGCAGTCCCCAAAGTTTAGGGTTTAGGGTTTAGGGTTTAGGGTTGAGGGTTTAGGGTTTAGGGTAACCTAAACCCTAAGCCCTAAACCCTAAATCCTGAACCCTAAGCGCCCCAAGCCGCCCTGCGCCCCAGCTCTCTCGAAGCCCTGAAGTCGGGGACCGAAAGTCTGAAGTGAGACTGATGAACACACTTGTATATATATATATATATACATATATATATATGTATATATATATACATACATACATACATACATACACACACCTGCACACATATATATATATATATATATATACATATATATATATATATTTATAGACAATCAGGCTGCTTCCCTCTTCTGGAGCCAATGCTGCGGAGGCCGCAAGTCCGAGGATTCCGCTCTGGGACTCGAGTCCTTGGCGGACCTGCTGTACCTGGTCTTGGGCTATTTGAGCATTTGGTCTCAGATGGAGCAACAGGAACTGGACCAAAGCTTTATGCCCGTTTTTTCAGCCATGTCTTGGCTGAGACTACTCTACAGCCTGCGTGGCGAGCGGTGGCTGGGGCCTCGTTTGCTACCCATCCTGTCGGCCGTCAGGGATACGTGGTCGTTTTTTCTGGTGACCGTCCTGTGCCTAGCATCGGCGACACATGCCTATTTCATCTTAAACCCCAGAGGGGAAGACCCACTGCCGATATACTCTGCCTTCACCCATACAGTGCGCCTTGGCATTTTTGGGGACTTCGACCTCTTTGAGTACCAGGGACAAGACACCACCTTCGCAGTCGATGCTACAGGTGCGTGGGTGCCCAATGATCCGGTCCCCGGCGAAATCGGCTCTTTCTCCTTCGTGTACCTGCAAGTCATCTTTTTTCTCACAGGGGTCGGAATCACCATCCTGCTCATGAACTTGCTCATCGGCGTCCTGGGCCAGAACTACGAGATCCACACGGATCGGGCTCAGGTCCTCTTCAAAAACCCCTAAACCCTAAACCCCAAACCCTAAACCCGAAACCCGAAACCCTAAACCCTAAACCCTAAACCCTCAACCCTCAACCCTAAACCCTAAACCCTAGGTCCTCTTCGTGAGGGCCCGTGCCCGGATGCTTTTGGAGCACCGCAGTCGGCCCCAAGCCCAGCTCCAGCGGCTCCACCGGAGGCTGCGCTCCAAGAGGCCCCGAGCCGAAGATGCGGAAGCCTCGGAGGCTGAGCAGGAGAGCCTGAAGCTGGGCTCTTCTTAAAGACGGTTTAGGGTTTAGGGTTTAGGGTTTAGGGTTGGTAGGGTTTAGGGTTTAGGGTTTAGGGTAAAGACTTCATAACTTAAGTTACCATGATAGGGCCAGGGATCTATAGTAAATAAGATGGCTTCTTTATAATGGCAACTTGAATTAGATCCCTGAACAAGAGCCCAGGAAAGGGAACAAGATGTCCGCGTGCCATTTCTGCACGGCCATGGTGGTGCTCCTCTGCTTCCTGCCCATCATGTTTACGGTGATCGGCTATCGCCACTGGGACGCCGTCCTGAGCCCCGCGCGGTGCAGCGTGTTTCGGCACAGAACGCTGGCATTTTTCCTGTTCCTGATCTTTCCTGTCCTCCTCGCGGTGTCAATGGTGGTGGCTTTGCCCGTCGCGCTCGGCTTGATGAGTTTTTGGTTCCTGGGCTTCCGCATCGAGGGCATGCAGTACGCAATGAACCTCACTATCTTCCGGGTTTTCGGGAATCAGCCGGCTCGCGAGTGCACAATCTATGCCATGGTCCGGAACGATTCGGGTGTTGACGAGCTGCGCGGCATGCGGACCGATCTCAAGGATGCGCTGCAGGGTAACTCCATAGAGTCTGCTAGTTTGCGAGCCTCAAAAGCCCAAGACATCCTCACCCCGGTCCCAACCGCAGACACCCCGAACTCATACGAACCCAAAACCGTATCAAAACCCCGATACCCCCCAGACAGAGGGCTTCAGAGAAGGACAAGATGCAGAAGCTGGAGGATGTCTTGCAGAAGCAGCAGAAGGCTCACAAGGCGCCAAGTGCTTCGCATTGCATAATATAGGGGCCTTAATAAATACCTATACTATTCTTGGGGGCCTTACCATAATTGTAGTACAATGGGCCCCAAAACTCATTTAGGTCCCTATATTAGCTCCCTTAATCTTCGCAAGTAATTTGTCGCTTCGCTCGTCACAGACTTCTGTCCGCACAAACCCTAAACCCTAAACCCTTAACCCCAAAATCCCCGAAATCCCGAAATCCCGAAACCCTAAGCCCTAAACCCTAAACCCTAAACCCTAAACCCTAAACCCTAAACCCTAAACCCTAAACCCTAAACCAAACCCACAGTGGCCTGCCGAAGGAGAGCCTGGCTGAGCAGAAGGACCTGCAGTCCCAAAGCCGACGGTGCAGGGATTTTGGGGATTTTGGGGTTTAGGGTTTAGGGTTTCGGGATTTCGGGATTTCGGGATTTCGGGGATTTTAGGGTTAAGGGTTTAGGGTTTAGGGTTTAGAGTTTAGGGTTTAAGGTTTGAGGGTTCGGGGCTTTTTGGGGTTTTGGATTGTGCTGGGTTTTGGAGGCTTGGGTTTAGTTACTCAAGTTTAGTTAGGTTGGCTTTAGGGTTTTGGGTTGAAGGTTTAGGATTTACGGTTTGGGCCGGTTGGAGGATGGACAGGTTGGCGTGAGCGGCTTGGCTTTTCCAATTCAAAACACTTACTACACAGGTCGGAATAATCAGTAAATGCTATCCGTTTATAATCCCCGTGTAACTATACTATGTAACAGAACCCCCCCAAACCTTAACTATTCTACTTACTAAGGCCCCTATGCGATGCAAACTGCATCCACCTGTGTCGCTTTCATTCTCACCACAACAAAGGCGGCGGCTCTCACTGCTAATTGTTATAATCAGGTATGTGTTCCCGCACAATCATCCAAGAAAGGCACAATATCCCTTACAGTCCCTACGGATTAACAGTCCCTACGGATTAGTACTGTGTTTGTTTTAGTCTTAATACCCACAGGCTTAAAGTACAATATACACCCAACTTGGAAGTATTTCGGCTGCCGAAGGAATCGATGCAGAGTGTGCAGCAGAAGATGGACAAGATCCTCATGCTGCTCGCAGGACGGCTTTTATTTACACCCTAAACCCTAAACCCTAAACCCTAAACCCTAAACCCTAAACCCCTAAACCCTAAACCCTAAACCCTAAACATTTATAAGAGTTCCTACCAGGGTTTCAGCGTTAGGGTTGCGACCAGCTCTTGGCTCGGCAAGGCTATGCAGGTTCCTATTGCATAGTGTTTGGGATTTAGGGTTTGGGGTTTAGGGTTTAGGGTGTGGGGTTCAGGGTTTGGGGTTTAGGGTTTAGGGTTTAGGGTTTAGGGTGTGGGGTTAGGGTTTGGGGTTTAGGTTTTGGGGTTTAGGGTGTGGGGTTCAGGGTTTGGGGTTTAGGTTTAGGGTTTCGGGTGTGGGGTTCAGGGTTTAGGGTTTAGGGTGTGGGGTTCAGGGTTTGGGGTTTAGGGTTTAGGGTTTAGGGTTTAGGGTGTGAGGTTCAGGGTTTAGGGTTTAGGTTTAGGGTTTCGGGTGTGGGGTTCAGGGTTTAGGGTTTAGGGTGTGGGGTTCAGGGTTTAGGGTTTGGGGTTTAGGGAGTACTCTGGAGAAAGAGGGTGGAAATCTTAAAGCCGAAGGTTCTCTTTTGGGTCAAGATTAAGGGCTCCTAAGTCAGGGGTTTCTGTGTTTCTGTACCCAGACCTTCCCAGAGCCGGTATAATATAGATACCTTAAAGCCATATTCTTCATCCTACTATAGTGTAAGGTACATCCCTGAATTGAGGGATATTGAAAGGTCTGGCTATGTTGGTTACTAGCAGACCATGTGGTATAGAGCTGAAGCTCGATTTTGGTTGGAAGTGCAGGTATGGTGTAAGAGGGAGCTGCCTAAAACACTGAAAACTCATCGTCCTCAAGCCCTACAAGCGCACCAATCATCCCTTTTCCAGTTTAACCAACTCGCCGTATGGTTAGTACCTGAACCCTAGACCCCGAACCCCAAAACTCTGAAACCCTAAGCCAGAAACCCCGAACCCTAAAACTCCGAAAGCCGAAGCTCGACATCGCTAAACCCTATAAACCCTAAGGGTTTAGGGGTTAGGGCCTAGGGTTTAGGGTCTAAACCCTAAAACTCGGAAACCCTAAACCCTAAACCCTAAACCCTAAACCCTAAAACTCGGAAAGCCTCCCAAGATTCCAACCCCACGTTTTCATCAGGAGAGCCAAAACCGTCCGCTGCTCCACCGGAAGGCGGGTCTACGGCTGACAGCCTTTGGGTTTCGGGTTTAGGGTTAAGGGTTTAGGGCTTTGGGCAAGAGAAACGCGTAATATATGGACACCTAAACAGGTACTGATACTATTTTGGGGGTTCCTCACTCCAACTATACTACAATATACCCCAAAACCCTATTCTAAATTATTCATGCCTTTATCTTATCTAAAGATGGGTTTCGGGTTGAGTAGGGATTAGGGTGATCTGGGTTTGGGGTCTAGGGTTTAGGGACTCGGGTTTAGGGACTAGGGTTTAGGGATTGCAGGGTTCATGGGTTAGGGTATGTGCGTGGATTCACAGTTTGCCGAATCGGAGATTTTTTGAAAGTTTAAGTTTGTGTTTTTGGAATAAAGGCCGATCTCAAGTGGATATGGATGCCGTCAGACGACATGTCTGACGTACTTGATCTCAAAACCCCGAACACTAAACTACCCCCCTAAACCCTAAACCCTAAACCCTAAACCCTAAACCTCAGCCCTGCATGCCAAGGCTGACGCTCCGAAACCCACCGCCGACTCCGGCGGCTCCTACGAAGTGAAATGCCACGATCAACTGGACCCCATTTGTAGGGTGCCTTGCTATGATTTCCTTATAAAAAGGGCCTGACAAGAAAGGCCCCGGGTGGTTGAAGTAAACTCAAAACCCGGAGTCTAACACTCCAAACCTTAATCCTTGAGCTTAAAAGCTCCAAAACCCCAAACCTAGAACCTAATTCCAAAAACCCTAAACCCTAAGCCCTAAACCCTAAGCCCTAAACCAACTCACCACCGCTTCTCCGACTCGGGCTTCTTTCTCGTGACCCACCGACAGCGAATTTGTGGAGGCGCGCTGCCTCCACCATGCGGCGCAAGTCCGTCCAGATCCCCACAGGGTCTTATAAGTTTTTGGTATAGGGTTTGATAAGAGTGTTTGAGGGTTTCAGAAAGATGACATCCCCTGTTTAGGCGTTCTGAACAATAGCCTCATGCTCTCACTTCGGGTTTGTAGCAAAGCACCGTCTGTTCCAGACACTCCGAAGTTTCCAAATGCGGAGCTGAAGCCTTAGATGGCCTTAATCCCTGAACGCCTCTGTACAGAGATCTAGTGACCCTAAACCCACGATCAGGAACGAAACCCTAAACCACCTTGCACATTCTCGTGCGATTCAGAATCCTGTGCTGGCCAGAGTTTCGGTACTGTTTCGGGTTTAATATAGAAGTTTAAATGATTGCCAAGAATATTCCTTAGCTAGGGTTCTTTATTGTGCCTTGAGGCCGGCATAGTGGGTACTGGGAGACTGTTGCTACGATTTATTTGGGGGTTCCTTATTATAATTATACTATAATGGGCCCCAAAACCCCATTCTGATTGTTAAAGCCCCTGTATGAAATCTGAGTTCCTGAGTAGCCGCACAAATAAGCTCTGAAGCCTTTGTTGGGGCTGTGGCCTCTCTTGGAGTGCAGCATTCACAGTTGAGATGCGCAGATGGACTTGTTCCGGAAAGATCCGGAAAGATACTCCGTGGAAAATGCCCATGTCGCAGAAATGCGCATGTGCGGCGTCGGCCAAGGGACCCAACGTGGACCCTGCGCCAAAAACGAAGGATGTACATAGAGCTTTCCGTGAGCTCCTGCTTGGGCATGGATCAGGTGAGCAATGGGTTTTTCAAGAATGTGAGGCGTAACAATCTTGTGCTTGGATGGTGCTGGCATAAGCTGTCATAGATACCAGTATTGTTGAATCTTTTGGCATGGATGCGCCAATGGAGGCCGCTTTGGATTTTCTCGGACCGCTGTAGCGCCCTGCAGAGGATGCGTGAATGTAGGAATGGAGTGCTATAGCCGACGGGTTGTCCACCGGACCTGACTTGCACAAACATGCCCATGCACTTGGTGCTGTCCGAATCGATGCCAATCACCGAATACCATGAAGACATGAAACGTAGTTTCATGACGAGAACAATTGTAACCGTACTCAGAAGACATGCATGCCATCAATGAATGTAAGCATGCGGGCAGGCATGCAGGCATTCATTCATACATGCCTGAATGAGTGAATGAATGAGTGAATCTTGTACTGAGTGAATGAACTTATGATTCTTGTGTTTATGTAACTGCACACAGAGGTGAGAAAGTCGACACACAGTGTTGGCAGTTCTCAGAATAGCGATGCTGGTGAACATCATTATATAACGTGCCAACAGGGCCGAGGAGCTGTAAGAGCAACACAAAGAATGATATCCAATGTGATGGTGCTGCTGCCTCGGAAGATGATGACGACGATGATGATGATGACCGTTAAGCATCTCGGCCCGAAGCCCCGTTGAGCCATCCTAGCTGAATGTTCGCCTTCATGCAAGCGCTTTTTCTGTATTGGGTGACGCTGACTGCTATGAATGGACCCGAGCCCTCTTTCATCTACGGGCATGGAACAGGGTCAGGATGGACACAACTTATGGTGGGCCGCCAGGGTCCCAATTCCCTGGAAGGCAGGCGGGAGGAGAAAACTATCGATGACTACAACGCTGCCTTAGATGCGAGGGTTGAAGTAGCTCCCGCCGTTACTTCTGAAGCTGCTCCTGCGGCGCCCACAGACAGATTACGTCAGGCAAAGCCAAGCGGAGAGGCTAAGCAAGAGCCGGCCCGCATCAAGAATGCCAAGCGGGCATACAAGCGGGCAGTTCAAAGAGCACAGCGATCCGTAGACAACACGACGAGATACCGCGGGAGACGCCTGCACCTGCAGCAACTGGGAGGTCCGCGCCTGACTGCGCACTTGACGGCGCAACGTGAGGCGAACGCCCACCCAAGGCGCACCACAGCCCCGGCTGACAGCGGGCCCCGACTGCGGATACTTAGCAAAAACCTGGGCGGCATGTGCAATGCCACCTACGACATCCTGATGAATTGGCTCGAGGAGAACAAGAACGAGTACGACATCATACAGCTACAGGAAGTACACTATGGGTTGGGGCGAGACTTCGTGGAGTATCAGACTGACTCGTGGATAGTGGTATCCAGTCCGGACCCCAAGCACCGTTGGGCCGGAGTAGCTACGCTGATCTCACGCCGCTTGGTTCTGCAGCAAGAAGTCCGCCACAACGTGTTGATACAGGGCAGACTTTTACACTTGCGGTTCCCCATAGGAGTTGGTAA